GCGCGCGCGCACCCACGGACGCAGACCGAGTCGAGTCGGGAGAAGGGAAACCAGCTGGGTTGTGTTCTTCTTTATATATAGGCACACGTTCATTGATTCTCCAGGAAGGAAAACGAGAGCTCGACCTGCTAGTACCATTTTCTTCTTCTACTGGGAGAGAGATCGATCGTTGAGTAAGCGGCGTTCTTCTTCTTCTTCAGAGAGAAATCCATCGTTGAGTAGGTGGCCATGGTGATGAACATGGGGATGATGGCCGAGGAGAAGTCGTACTTCACGTCCATGGTGGACCAAGGTGTTGTCGATCCAGACTACGAGGAGAAGCTGCCCCTCTTACGTTCAGAGGTGACGAGGTCCCTTGAGGAGATGGAATCTCCAACCTACGACGACGCCTTCGTGAAGCTGGATTGGTCCGAGAGCCTCGAGGACAGCACCCTCGACGTCGTCAACGTCCTGGCGGCGGACGGGGACGAGTGCAGGCGCGGCGCCGCCCTGTTCGCCGGCGAGCAGCCGCTGGCAGACGCCCTGCGTGGCCAGGCCGCGTGGTACCACGCCAGGCGCGCCGAGGCCGAGGAGATCGCCTCCGGCGCGCGGCGCCTGCGGCACACGTGCCTCGGCACGGTGGCCACGGCGGAGACAGTTGACATCGTCTGCCTGGGGCCGTGGACTACATCGAGCACGTGTTCAAGGAGATGCCCCACATCGCCTCGTCCCCGGCGGAGCAAATGGCCGCGGCGAGGGCCCAGGCACAGGTCCAGGGCCCCGCGGCCACGCGCTTCGTGGAGGAGTTCGCCGAGATTGCCGGGAGGCTCAGGCGAGGCGCGGCGGATTTCGGGGGCGAGGACCAGGGGTTCGCCTGTGCGCCGACATGAAGGCGTTCGTGGACAAGATGGAGTCCTCCGCCTACTGGAGGATGTTGAAGCATCTCAACTGAACCCGCAGCTGCCTGCCGGAACGCAAACGCCGACGGACGCCACGCCTCCCAAATACGATCTCACTCTTCGTTGGTTTCCGCTTCAAACCATCTCAATCTTTATCAAAAATTGTACCAATGCACGTCGATTTGTTTATATATGAATGAAACATTATTAGTAGCCAAACTGGTAGCGTGTCTGAGTGAATTTTCAGGTGGATCATTCGTGTGAGTTTTGATTGATTCAAGTTACTTTCGTTTTTTTTGCGGGGTAATTCAAGTTACTTTCGTTAGAGTGCCCTTTATCTTTTGCGAGACAGGGTTAGATGTCATATATTTTGAGATGTGATAGTTGTTATTTTAGGACCATGAGTATGAAACTCGGGTGTGTTTATATTATTCAGACGTCATAAGCTGATGGAGGCTACGGGAAACCTTTGCGATCATCAAGTAGTCTCGTGTTCTCCTCGCCAACGCTGCAAGCTCATGCGCGAGAGTACATTACACTTCCTTCCCACCACGTTTATGTGATGGATTGACAACTCTTACAGTATCCTTTTTATGTCTACCATCAGAGGGTAACATAGCGATCGATTTTGGGCTTCAGGGACAAGCTCCTTCCCAAGAGTCACACAATCAGTTTCTAGGATCACAGGTCCCTTGTAAGTTGTAAACCTTCGCTAACTCGCCCAGAACGCCGCAACAGCCTCGGCTTCTGCAACTGACAAGCACGGCCCAATGTGACGGCCAACAGATGTGAGCTGTTGTGGGATGCGAATTGTCAGTGGTGGGTGTGTGTTGTCCGATCCGTCAGCTCTGGGATGTTAAGATATGTTGCCAATCGTTGCCTCGGAGATCAAGACGTCGAAAAACCCGTAGATACTCCAAAGACCCTGAACGCTAATGCTGAAAGATCAACTGGAGACCAAAAGCCGGTCGGATTCAAGAAGATCCATCGACAACACACCTCCACACACTCTCCACTGCCGCAAAGGCACACCACCGAAACGGAGATAGGTTGAAGAGGACATTATTCCTGCAATGTGGCAATGCCATCACCTCGCAGCCCCAAGCAAGACACGGACCATCCTAGAACTAGACTAAACTAGGACACCCAATACGATGTACGCCAAATCTGGGCCAAAGTCAAGCGTGCGACCATTTAGGGCCCTGTCTCCAGAGACCTGGGCACTGCGGCCCATGGCCGCCGCCCCCCGACCGGCGAACGGACATCCGTCACTGCCACCAGCCCCAATCCAGCGCAATTGGCCAACCCCGCTGCATTGAACTCAGTGGCGTTTCAGCTGACCCCACACCACACCACACCACACCACAGCTTTTCAGAAAAAACTGCCTAAAACAATGTACAATTATTGTACATTGTGATGAAAAAAATTCAGAAAATTAGCAATGACCCCACTGATTTTCTAGGCTGACTTCGCCACTGATTGAACTCCCCTGTGGAAAGATCCTCCCCGCTGCCACCAGCGCCGAGGGGGCCTTGTCCGGCGACGCCCTCCGGCGGTGGTGAGAGGCTTGGAGATGATTGACGGCGGCCAGGTCTCCGTGGGATGAGAAAGCCTATCAACATCAACAGGTTGCATTGTAGCGGCAACTCATGTATAATTTTTACTCTCTCCGTTTCAAAATATCTGTCATGGTTTTAGTTTAAATTTGAAATAAAACCATAACAGGTATTCTTAAGTACAGCATCTTTCTAGAGTATAAACATCGACTACGACAGACAGTGTTGTGGCTGGTGAGCAGCTACCTACTCGTCAATGAGCAGCGCCTGCCCGGTCTGATCTCGCGGCCTGCAGCTGCGACGAAACACACCGGGCAGCCTCGACGAGCCACGCCTGTCCGACGGCAACCGCCACCTTGAGTTGCGACGCCGTCATGTCCCTCGCCCTGGCCCTCAGCTCCAGCAGGCCCCGGTCGATGTCGTGCTCGTGCCTCGCCACCAGCGGACGGAGGAGGCCATCGTACACGTGCCCCGCACCCTGAAACCCGAACACCAGTAAGTTTCAGATTCAGAATTGGCCACATACAGACATACCGAATCAAGTGTATCTGAATGTTGATCATCTCTCAGGCTCCGGGTGTCTGGTCGACTGCTTACCCGTGTGCCGGGGTGCCAGAGGTAGAGGACGAGCAGCAGCTTCACCTCGCCGTACATTGGCAGCCACGACACTATCCAGTCCGCGAACCTCTCGACGACCGTCAGCGTCGCCACGAGAATCCTGCAGCGACAGCAACAGAGATTCAGAGAGAAGAATGACACTGAAAAACAATGCAGTACATGTCGATGCCAATGTGCTTATATACATACCAGTACTGGCACCAGAAAAGCAATTGCTCGATCTGCGGAGGGTGCACTTCCAGCATCTTGTAGCAAGCGTACGCCGGGTACGCGTAACCCAGAGCCAGGCTGCGCGCAAGACCAAAGAGAATCACTGTATTATTTTGATGGAAGAGCAAATTAAAGCGAATTATAATGGACTTTTGCCATCAATTTTGCGAATTAATTGAAGGGCTTGAAGGCAACGTGGGTGCTGCTACTCACGTTAGCAATCTGGTGATGAGTGATAACGCCATCGTCTCTAACTGCAAAGCCGAGAAATCGCAATGTTCAGAGATTTACCGTTCTTGATGAGGGAAAGATAATGCAGAGACAGAGAATGATCGCCATTCATGTCGCCGAACAGAAATGAACCATGCTGACCAAATGAATCTGATGCGCAGTGAGCTTAAAGTGAACAATGGGAGAAAATGCGATGGAATCTGGATGCGATTCGTACAGAGCTTGATCGGAGGAGGCATTAGGCAAGCAAGCATTGGAACATCGACCGACCGACGAATGTGCAGCGAAACAAACGAGGAGTGACGATTACCTTGTGGATTAGCGGCTGGTCTCGTTCGAGGTCGGGGAGGATTGGAATCGTGGATGAACTGGAAGGGAGAGGGCAATGGCGAAGGGGGCGTGGTTTGAATATGCGCAGGGTGGGGGGAAGCGGTTGCGCTGGAGGTGGAGGTGGAGATGGATGCGCGTGCGTCCAACCGCCCCGTTGTTTCGCGCCATTGGGCTCCGGGGAGGCGGTTACAACTGAAGCGGCAGATAGATAGATGGGCTAAAACGAGCACGGCCACGGGCGCGTGAATCCTCCCTTCTAATTTTCACACCAAAACAGAGACCCTCCATTCGTGCAGCTAAAATTTGGAGCAAATTCTTTTTTTTTTGGTGATGAAGAATTTGGAGCAATTTCAGGTTTGAACTCATACGGGTTTGCAGTTGAGGTGGCATATGAGTGCCCAGGTGCGCCATGACAGAATGGCCAGGCTGTAGGATTAGGACAGAAATGACTGGCTTTTTTTTTGCGGGTAGAAATGACTATGAATGCGAAAGCTTAAATGTAGAATATATATTTTAGAAACTAAGTGGCGGTTTCTTCATTTTCCGCGCCGTGAGTTGCTACTTGCAACAGTAGAAAAT